CGAGTCTGAGCATTTTTCTATTAAAATAAAAATGGCGGTGTTCACAAAAATTCTGCGCGAAGTAGCTTATTAAAAAAGAATTTCCTTGCAAACCTTGCGTGTTTTGAATTAAAACCATTACACTGCACCACACACATTACACTACACATTTTGCAAGCGTGGTATATTGGAGTATAAAATTTCTCTAAAATTTAACTCTACACAACCATGCCATCTATCAGTGTTATCAGTGGCCCTAATTTTGCCTTTATTAGTTTTTCTTATGTCAAAGGAATTTCAATGTTATGCCAGGCAGGTGGAAGAATTGTAACTACGATGTTTTTACCTGCTTTGCCCGCTGATCACCACCAATTAACTCGGTGCTCTCCTCTGGCAGCTCGACTCTTGGGAAGACTGGTTCAACTGATGGCTGAAAGAAAGAAAGTTTAAGAGATAATCAATTTGGCAAACAACTGCCTTGGGCAAAACCTACCTGATTGACCAGATGATCGGGAATGAAGGAGCCGTCCTGTTCGAAAACACCGGAAAGCTTCTCAAGATCAAACGGTTCAGCTAAAAATAGCTAGGACTCAACTACGGTAATCTTCAAAATTCTTACTTTTACAATAACCCATACAAGGGTCTAAATTGATCTTCAAAACTCAAAGGTCCAAAATTTAAACTGACATCCGTCCTTAGATGATGGCTCACCATCTTCATCAATCGTTGTGGTAGACAAGTCAGTGCTAGCAGTTGTCGAGGCTGCCCTAGTCGTAGTAGGAGGTAGCTCAGAGGTTGTAGGTTCTTTGACAGCTGGAAGAAGCTTTATGACAGCCAGTAATTTTGAAGAATTTTGATTTAAGCATGTTCTTGTTATCATCAAAAAGGTACAAAGATAATATTTGGCGAACTCAAAGTGGAAAGATAAATCAGAAGTTCTTGTATTGTAAGCAACACTGAAGATAAGATACAAAATGTAATTTTCTCATTTTGCGTTATTCTTAGCATTTACTAAGGAAAAATTGTCGTTATTTTAGTGAAGTGCGGAGCTAAGGGTTCTGAAGTTAATAAGACATTTACTGTCTCCATTTTATATTCTAATCTTTCAATCATTTTTTGAACTGTTATTTTACATCCCTCATTTGTTTTAGCTTAGCTTAACATTCAAAACTCGATGCTACAAATTTAGATTCTGGTTAAACTAATGCAAGAATTCAACTTACTGGTATTTTGGTGATCTCGTATATCAATAGCCGCGGATACGTCAGGTGTTTCCTCTGATTCAAAGTCTGCCCGTGTTGCAGCAGTTGCTGTTTCTGTGGTGGTTCTAACTTCTTCTTCGTTTTCCGTAGAAACAGTGATGATACTGGGTAGTTCAGTTGTTTGTGCAAGAGGTGAAGCTTCAGTTGTTGTTGCACGCACAGGGACGTTTTGCTGAAAAAGTCGTTATTCTTTGAAATTTTCTGAAACTACCCTGACAACGGGGATATTCTGACCCAAAAGCAAAGCAGCTGATTGCAAGGGATTAGCACAAGTAGCATACATGACCAATGCTATTTGTGGTCTAATATGATTCATCTAAGCGTAATCACTACATAAGGTCAATGCTTGCATCTGAGATTGCGCTAATTGCCGTGATTGTTGGCTGCTTAATCATTATGGTCATGAGCTGCTTACTATCGCATATGTTAGCAAGATTTCGTTCCCGTAAGAATTTGCAGTAGAAGATCAAAACTTCTTTACTTCAATCATCGTTTATCCATAAGTTAATAAACTGAAACAGTATTTTTGCTCAAAAATAATCTTTTCTGCAAACTGATTCCACCGAAAAGAGCTTGTGAAATTTTGATGCTGGTTTTTATTCAGGGAGGTTGAACTGTTGAAAAGTTGAAG